ATTCCCAATGCTTCAGCAAGAGCATCGTCGTTTCTTCCGTTACCTCTTCCGGCCATTGTTCTGTAACATTACAAAACAACCTCATCAGCACACAAGTATCGACATTGTCATCTTACACTAGTCGCATACAAAAGGGACAACGACACAAGACAAGACCGACTAGGCTCTGATACCACTATTGTAACACCCCTTCTAAATAACCCGCGGATATATTAATTAAATCAGAGTAACATGGAAAACAGGGATGTCACAATTCGAGTTAAATATAAAAACCTCAAATCTACAGTTATCGTGCTTTATTGAAGGAATTATTAAAATAAATATTCAAATCAATATCATGTTCTACACAGCGGAAATGTCTCAAACGGGAATAACTTCACTTCATAAGTATTCCCAACATAAATTAAACAATAGAGTATAAAATAAAACTCATCATTCAAACGTTTCCCCCAGTGTTACAACCTATCAGAGCACGACACTGACACGCGGACTTAAAGTAACATAGCTCTATAGCCATCCTCACTAACTCCTGAGCTGCTAACTTTAATCTGAAATCATTAAAGTAAGGGTGATATTTCTCATAATTAACATGCATTATAAGTTTCTCAATCAACATTATATCACAAGCATATTATTTCACCCATTTTAGCATAAATTCATATTCAACACACAGTTCCAATCATACAAGTCATTATGCACAAATCTATAATCAACCAAAGAATTGTAACACTGGAAGACATCCTAACATGTTACAATTCCATGCAAACACAAATGCAAACACAATGCATGTGGTACCAACACGTGACCAAGTCACCCAACACTGATCCATCATCAACCGGATACAGCAACCATTGATTCGTCCATAAACACCCGGACACGAATCCAGCCTAACCACTCATTATCATCCGGGTATCGGTTAACAGAAATACAAGTCAAATTCCACACAATGGGAATTAACTTCACCAAAACAATGCATATGCATGCACATCACCAGCATGCAACATCAAATCAACGGAATATGATCACAACATAATTCCAAATAATGCCAAAACCAATATATCACATGATCACATCTCAATCATAATGGATAGCAGGCACAACACATAAGTATCAGTTCTCATTCACCAAATCAGAATAATTTACAAACAATTCTACATCATTCTCAAAATACCAAAGTTTACAAAAATCGGGAATTCGACTCTTTTTAAAATAATTTTCATAAAATAATATTTTTCTTATTTTATAAGATAGTATTTTTAATTTAAGAAATACTGCCGAAAACGGCACTCAAATCGGACTTACGGTTTGAAAGTTATGAATTTTCAAAGTTTAATATTTTTCAAAAAGTTACAGCAGAACCCGGTTCCTACATATACAGGAACCGGTTCCTGCGAAGTCCAAAAATCACCCTTCTGGAAAATGTATGGGAACCCGGTTCCTACCTATACAGGAACCGTTTCCTGCGTGCGTTTTTGCAAGTTTTTGTAAATTTACACAGTGGAACCCGGTTCCTCCTCATTGGGAACCGGTTCCCACGACCTGCAGAGCCAAAAACTGCTATTTTGACAGCATTTTGTATCTCAATCCATTCCTTTTCATTCCCATACGAATGACCACATCAATTAACACCAGAATCACCCAAGTAACATCAACATAATGTCAAATAACACAATTCAACCATTCCTAACAATCCTATATCATGCAATTGGTTCAATTCCACACAATTTGACAACATTAGGGACAAATTCTACAAACCTAGAAAATCCTAAATTGAGATTCCTAACATGCTTAATCAATTCTATTGATTCCAAAATCTATAAGGCATAGTAATTAATCGAAATCACCCCTTACCTCGCGATGATCCTTCGAATTCACGGCGTTTTGGTTTTTCCTCTATTCTCTTCTCCAATTTCACGTATAATGACTTTTCCAAATAACCTTCTTTTTCTTTTCCTTTTTATCCTTCTTTTTATATTCCTTTTATTATTTGCCAAATAATAGAAATAAATTAGTTATTATTTAGTAGAGCTTTTTACTTCATACACCTCTAATTCAACCTTACACCCCCCGGTCTTCCTTTTTAATTTCATAATTAATTCATCCATTTAATCCAAAATATTATTAATTAAGCCTTTAATTAATTTAATAATTAAATTCCTAATTATTTAACACTTGAATAAATTTGGGGTGTCACACGCGAAATATCTAGATTTCCTGAAATATGTTAAGGGGACTATTTTGGATCGGGTCAAATAGAAGATTGTGAGTGCATGGACCGATCAGATTAGACACTTTGGCAATATAGCAACTAACAGTAAAGTTGTTTTTTTGTCGATATTGGGATGTCGTGAACCAAATACTCCTAAACCAACATAATAAGATACATACATCTTTTAGTCAGAGCATAATTGTGTTGGAATGTCGATTTAAAGACAATATCCTTTATTCACATTTGAATGACAACATATCTCGGAAGACATTGAATTTTATTATTCACGAAGCCAATCGAGCAGATAAAACAGGTTCAGATAGCTCAAAATGTGAATGTACAGTTAGGAAGACGCATTGTCTTCCATGTGCTTGTTTAATTTCAAAGAAGATGGGGCTTGAAATACCACTATGTATGGATGAAGTTTGCACTCACTGGAAAAAGCTTCATTTTAATGATGATTGTGTGATGAAAGATGACTAATCAAACATATTTATCATGAACGAGTGGAAAGTGATCCAAAAGAGATTCACGAAAGTTGATGACATACTGAAATTGCACATCAAAGAACAATTGAGGAAGATTGTCTATCTAGAAACAATAGATTTGAAACCATCGTCTGAACCGGTTAAACAAAGGGTGCTCCAAAAAAGTCCAAACTGACACAAAGTGACAACTCCACGAGATGGTCTCCTTCATTATTTGAACGTGTTCACTTATATTTTTCAGGATTATCCGACTCCAAAATCCCAAAAAAGTTTCAAGGGTGCTCGCATAGTAAACCATCTCCTCCACCGCAGATACCAAAAATCAAACACATTGAAGAGATGCCGCTTTTTATGCACAAATACATTGAGCACATTGTTGATGTTAAAGGTGACGGAAATTATGGTTTTCGATCTATTTGGCGTGTGCATGATAAAGGATTGGACGACTACTAATTTTTCCCCGACATCTTATACAAGAGATGAAGACACATAGGGAAGCATACACAAAGCTATATGGGAACGAAGAAAATTACAATGCAATTCTCAATGTTCTTGTTCTTTATCTTAGTGGTCTGACTCTGTTTGACAAATGGACGCACTTCTCGAAAATGGGACATCTTATAGAAAGTGCTTATGATAGAGTGTGTATTGATTTAACATGATATCGTTTCTCAAAAACATTATTTTCACTTCTGATAAGCCACCTCAAAATCCATCAAAACGCATCATGTATATTGGTTGGCTATCAGAAAAATAAAATTTTATTTAGGTTTATTTGAAATCGGAATGTCATATATCAAAGACATCATCGGAGTGGATGGCACAATTCACACAAGATGTTGAAACTTGGTTGAATCACTTTTTGGAAAGGATGGAAGAGTTTACTAGGTTGAGTGACGTTAAAAGAGAACCAAATAAGAAAAGTTCAAAGAAGGAACCACCAATAAATTTAGGTAGTGACACATATTTTTGATCCATTTTAGTTTTAATCTAACAATGTAACTTGTTTCTTGTATGTAATGTTGTCCATAATATTATAAAATAGAGTGTTAATTTGTGGGTAATTTTTGTGTTTCTAAACCCAGTACAACATAATACACTAGTTATGTATGAACACTGGTTTGGATGGGTCCGGAGATGCATCTCTGGATACACCTTTTAATTATTAAAAAAATAAAATAGGGGACTATACGAATGTGCATCTCTGTAAAGACCATTTTTTATAAAAAAAATTGAGCGTATACAGAGATGACCTCTGAAATATATCTTGATGATATGATATAGTTTGTAGGTTCTTATTGATCTATAACTTCTGTAAATAGAGTCTATCATTCCATTTTATTTACAAAAACCAAAATGAATACATATCCTCATCTTGCATTTGTGTATTTCAATGGTGCAAATACCTCACTTCAATTTAGGGTCTCCGAGAACGTACTTTTCATTGATCTGAAATCCAAACTGAATACTCTCCTGTGATATCTAGAAATTCGGAGAGTTGTCAAACTCGAGTACCATTCACCCTCGATTGACAATGAAGAGAAGATATAGTTCACCATGCTTGAACTGAAGACATGTGATGATTTAAAGGTTATGTGGAGTACCTTTTATCGTTACTCAATAAAGGGTCTGACTAAAGTGGATGTGATGATTGCAAGATCAACAGAAGATATTATAATGATGTTGCAACATGTTGAGCCACCTCGTTTGTAATGATATGTAATGTTAAATTTATGTTAACGTTAACAATTATCTATGTAATATTTATTTTGATGTTAATTTATGTTGTTTTCTATTCTTCCGTTATTCCTGCTTGTTTCTACAGAACATATTCCCGAGTTACATCTACGGATAACTTAGTGAATATTGAACTTAAGGGGGTTACAAAGATGTATTTCTGGATTAACCTTTAATGCATACGGAGATGTATTCGAACTAAATTTTAACAAAATAAGAATTTCTCAACAATTTCATCTGAGATGTGTGTGAAAAAGATGCATATGAATATGCATCTTCGAATATTATAGACAATTGTGACTTTTCACAATGAAGAAAAAACATAAGGTTGGAAAAGTAAACCCCCTCCTATAAAAACTGGCCCAAGACAGATACACTAAGGCCACTATGTACATTAAGCCCATAAACTTCAAAACCAAAATTACAAAACAATCCTTCAAAATGATATCCTTTCTAGTACACCACTCAGTGGACACCATAGCACTAGCACTTCCCAAATGGATATGACAACTATTTCCATACATTTATTTCTCAAAATCAAAACTCATTTAACTTCCTTCACCAACATGGCTCCTCTAACAAACATGCATGGAGTCTCCAAAACCATTACTCCAATTACATGTCTTCTTCCAAATGCACAAAATACCTTTAGAAAAGGACAAGTAGTTGTTGGATTTCTAGGAAGCAAAACAAAGAAATCATCAGAAAGTGACTCAATTCACACTACAAGAAGAACAGCTGCAATAAGCTTTGTTTCTCTAATTCTTACAGGACAATTCAATGAGAAGATTTCACTAGCTAAGGATAATGGATTCTGGATTGAAGGTCCTATTCCAGAACCAACAGTCACTAATAGTAAGCATAATTCTAGTATTATTAATTAACATTTTTATATATAACATGTTTGGTTAATGTTTATGTTTCACTTGTCATTGGGACAATTATGAGTGTGTTTTTTTTTTTGCTGTCTCTTGTACTATGTTGTTTTGTTTTGATGTGAATGATGTTGATTTGGTTAGATATTGCGAATGAGAAAACGGGGACACGTTCATTTATTAAGAAGAAACTCTACATGGCGAATATTGGAGCAAAAGGAAGTGTTTTTAGGATCAAGAAATATTCATTTGATCTTCTTGCAATGGCTGATTTGATTGCACAAGACACACTCAACTATGTTAGGAGATACCTAAGACTCAAGTCTACTTTCATCTACTTCGATTTCGACAAGGTTATCTCCGCTGCTCCGGTTGATGATAAGCAACAACTCACTGACATGGCTAACAAACTGTTTGATAATTTTGAAAAGGTATGTTCAATTCCCTCCAAAAATATTAGAGACATAGAATTGTTTGAAATTATGTGATTAGTTGTTTGATTGATGAATTGGATTTATAATGCAATGATTACAGCTTGAAGAGGCTTCAAGGAACAAGAATCTAGCTGCAACACAAGCATGCTATAAGGAAACTGAAGTTATGCTTAAAGATGTCATGGACAAGATGACTATAATGTATAAAACAATTTGACAAGAAAGAATGCTTTAAAAGTTATAATAATATATACATTAATCTATGTGTCTGCATCTGGATTGAATTCAATGAATAATTAATGTATCTGATCTATATATAAATTTAATTTATTAGTCACAATCTCTGCGATCCACGAAAGCAACCATGCAAAATAAGTTGAGTGGTTTAGTGATAAATATAATGTAGGACAGGTAGAATAAAATTATGATTATTATACAACAATAAGCAGAATTTGCAAGTGGAACTAAAAGAACACGAGAGTAGATTGTCTTCAACTAAATGCAAAGAGCTTAGTAACTTGTTCACTATACAAGCTATATGTATGATGTTAGAAATTTAGAATTAAGTTATTCAAATAGGTTAAACAATATATTCATGATTTCATTTGTTATAAGATTAGAAATAGCTCAGGCGCGATTCTGCTGGACGGCCGTTGGTGGTGGTGCGACGAGGCGTGCCAATTTCACAAGCGTTTACTCTTGATGCGAACCGGAGTGAGCATAGCGACTCTCCGGATGAAGCTTGGTCGGGAGAGATGTTTACAAACATTAATGTCTTTGAGTCTCCACCTAGACAAGGCTGTTCAACAAAGTAGTAAATTATTTAGATCATCTCGAAGTTATAGAAATAGCTTATCTATAATCTATAAGCAGTTTATCCAAACAGAACCTTAGCTTATATGTTTAAGACTAATAAGAAAGAAAAATCACCTGAAGTAGGTATGTAAGCTTTGAGTTTCTGAATGGAATGTGATCTTCCTTCTTGGCCAAGGCGAATATAACATCGCTTAATGACGACAAACTTTTATTTATTGCCTAATTACATGAGAAAGAAGTTTAGATTGTTATTGATCAAAGAAGTAGAACTATATGAAAATCGAAGACATCGTATGGTTTTACACACTTGAGTTTCTTTCAATCGGTCTCCGGTTGAGCCGCTCCTTGAAAGACGTTCACTCCCGGCAAGATCGATGAGGTTTAGAATGCCTTGTACTTGTTGGTCAGTGCTCTAGCAGAACAAAGAGATAATAAGTTGCAATTTGGCGCATGTTAGACGGATCCAAACAACTTAATTAAGCGCTTATAGCATATGAATGTTTATACATAAGCTATCTCTACTAAGCAGTCTCGCGAGTGTTTATGCCAATATATCAGCGCAAATAAGTCAATTCAAACAAGTCCTATATAGAAACATGGTTTTGATTATATTAATAGAAGAAAAACATTCGAACCTCGTTTACACCGTATATTCGAAGAGTGAATACGAAATGACTTCTTGAAGATTGTTCATTCATCTGAGTTTTTCCCACAGATCTAAATAGAAATAAACAGAAAAACATAATCAAATTTTCCATCCGAAACCAAAGTGTGTTAACTCATAGATCTTGATCTTTCTCATAAACCAATAACAAAAACAGATTGAGAAATGCGATATAAAGATTGCGAAGGAATCGTATATGATGTAATAACCTGCTGTTTGCTGCTTGGTTTAAAAGAAATGCGACCTCTTTTACGCTCTGAACATCAACAACTGTAAGATCAGAAACGTGTGTATTTCCGCTGGCATCATGTTTGATTGAATATTGCTTCCCAGGAGTACCGTTTTCTACTCGGGTTGCATCTGATGCTGACTTATTTGTTGTAGACAACAAATCACGAACCGTTTCATTGTATATTTCCAACATTGACACCTGTAAAATTTTACGAATGAAAAACCTTATTAGATCTATACATCGTGTTCAAAAACATGCAAACATTGTAATGATGAATGAACTAAGTAGAAGGAAAGAAAAACTTTTTTTCACCTGCATTTCGTATTTCCATCCTTGTGGTTGTTGAGACTGTTTAGTTTGAAATATTTGTTCGAGTGAACGTGGTATCAAGCCCTTTTCGCCGGGATGCCCAGGCCTGCCCATCATTGTATAGGTTTTCCCCGAACCTGTCTGACCATACGCGAAAATGCAAACCTGGAAAAGAAAATGTCTCAAATTTTGAGATACGTTACACGTGCACAAGCCCTTATATTATAACACGAGTATTCATCGGATAAGTACTTATGTATAAGAAATTTCTATAACAAAATATAAAACAAAGTCAAATTGTTTTCATCAAGAGCACTTATTACCTTATAACCATCAAGAGCACTTTGCACAAGCTGTGAAATTTCTGTAAATACTTCTTGTTGTGACGCATCCGGTGCAAAAACTCTATCAAATGTGAAAGAGTGTTTTTGTCCTAAAAACAGCAACATAATTAAACGAATAAGCTAAAACAAGCATACACCAATCAGAAGAACAAAAACTACGACTGAAGCCACATCATCACAAGATATACCATTTTGTGCCAATTCAACGCCTCGTCCAGAAGCTTCCATCGAGGTAGGATATGATATAATCTTTCCATCTGTGCTACAACCTTCCTCGGGTAACAAAGGCCGCACTCTACAGAACACGCGAATGTTCCCTTTCAGTTCCTGTCAAAATGTAGATTAGAACTTATTAAGGAGTTCGTTTTACTTCCAAGTTAATTTTATCGACAAATTTTGGCTCAGGGAGTTACCAAAATAGTATTATGTAATTCTTTCCGCAGCTTCTCCCCTTGTATAAGTTTGTATTCTGCATCTGCCAATCGTCTTTGTAACTCATTTACGAGTTTCTGTTGCCCTTCGAATTCTGTTCTTGTCTCAATAGCAGATATATCACAAACCTGAACGAAGAACAAAAACCATTATATCATAAAGTTCGACGAGACGGTCTAATTTTTCTAAATTTATGCCGCATTACCTCGAGTTTGTTCTCTGCAATCGTTAGCTTCTCTTGTAATTCCATTATATGATTATCTTGAAAAGTACATTTTGTCTGCAAAGGAAAATCGTAGCCTCATTCATGTCTACGTAAAAGAAAAAAGGATGTTACCAAAACGAAACCCGATAAAAAACCAACCTCCAATTCCTTTGTTTTCATGGTCAAGTTGTTCAGTTCGGAACCGGACTTTTCTGAAGAATCTTTAAACTTGACTATTTCAGTACTTAAAGTTTGCACTTGAGATATTTGGCGATCACGATCGTCCCTCACTTGTTGCAGCTCGCTTCGAAGGGATGTAACTTCACTCGCAAAAGCATCCTTCTGTTTTGTAGCCTCTTCTTGAGAAGCCTAATGAAAACAACCAATGAAACTTCATAAGACTTCTAAGTTGCATACTAATAATCAAAACACGGTTTTCTGAAAAATCGTAGTATATTCACCATAGACAAAGTAAGCTGGCCCTTCAACATGGTAAGATTTTCCACTACGGTCGCTTTCTCTTTCTCTACACGCTTAAGATCACCTTCAACCGAAGAAAGCTCAGAATGAAGTTTTCCATTGTATTGCTGCAAGCTTGTTATATACTCTTGTAATCGCTTATACATGTCATTGAGTGATGATATCTGCAGAAATTCATCGATGCATACATTTTAATAGCAATTTCATGACATGACGACTTATTGAATTGAGATTATGCTAATTAATTATACCTTCTGATTCGCAGTTTGAAGCTCTCGTTGAGCTCTACCAAGATCTTCTGATAACGTAGTTTGCGACCTTTCAAAGTCAAGCCTAGCCTCTCTCTCTTTAACAAGAGATTCCATTGCAGCCTTGTGTTTCAAAAGATAATAAAAATTATAAGCTTAGCTTATAAACCTTTCCATGACATTTTGCACAAAAATTGAAAACATTTCTTACCGATTTATCAGTTTCTTCCTTCACTAATTTCTCTTGCAAAGAAGTGCAATTCCTTCTCATTTCTGTAATAATCGAATTCAGTTCTTCTTCCTTGATTTTTAGCAGCAACTCTGCAATTTGAATGAATTAATTAAACAACATAAGCACACACAAATAGTGAGAATTTTCCAGCTTAACGAGAGATCCTAGGTTCAAACCCAGTCTCTGGGCATGCAACGGTGTTAAATTCTCTTGAGGGAGAGTTTTTCCGCCCATTGTGATTCTCCCCGGCTCAAGGGATTAGTCTCTCTGCAGTTGAGCGCTGAGAATACCCGGTTTCTACCGAAAAACAGTGAGAATTCTCCAAAATCAAAAAAGGAAAAAACTAATTATAACAATAATAATCTTTACCTATTTCCATGCATTTTTGTTGAGACAATTCCAATGAACTCTTTAACTTCTCTTGCTCTAATGAGTAGCTCAATTCAAGGTCTTGGAACCATCTAATACAAACCTTAAGCCTTTTTATATAATCAATCATATTTTCACATCTTTCCTAAAAAACACAAAGTAAGAAGATGTTAAGATATAGTAATGATGAAACATTAAATTCCCTTTGATCTCAAACCTAAAACAACCAAAACAAACAAGTATGAATTAAGTTACACTAAAATGTTCAAAAGGGGATTTGAATTTGAACTAACTCGTTCGCTCGAGATTACAAGATCAAACTCTCAACAAACCTTGTAATTAAATCTGTCTTTCCTTTTGGATTTCTCGTTAAGCAAAGCCTCAACATCATCTCTTGTGAAATCTACAAAGCTTCCATAATCAGAACCAGCATTACTTGGTGGAGTACTACTTGGACCAAGTTCATGTCCACCATTTCCAAATCCAAAAGAGAGTCTTCTTCCATTCATTGGAGTACCAACCATTTTTTTTCCTTCTCTCTCTTCTTCACTCTATGAGAAGGAGAACTTCATTCATCACCCACAAACCTTGGAAAAACAACATCAAAAAAATTACATTTTTAGCCTTGAAATTTCACTTCCATTGAATAAAAGTGAGAAAACACAAGAACCCATTACTTAAAATGGAAAATAAATCATGGGAAAAGAGAAAAGTTTGTACCTTTGGAACCTTTGAAAGGGTTGAAGGTGTGAATGTGAGAGATATTATTATGAATTAAAGTTGTGGTTTTTGAAGATGAAAGCTTCACTGCAGAGTGAGTGAGGAGAGAGAAACTAGCTTTGTGGGGCCATGGATTGTCTTCAAAGCTAACAAGCTATCAAAGTGA